TGATTGGCGTTGTTGTTGTTGTTGTTTAAGACGGGATTTCCTAGATTATTAAAATTATTGTTAATATTATTACCATATCCGTTAAATTTATTATTACTGTTGTTGTTATAATTGTTGCTATTGATGTTGTTGTTGATGTTATTGTTGTTGTTGATGTTGTTGTTGTGGGCGTTATTGGGCGCGGCTTTGTTACTGTTAACGTTGTTGTTGATGTTAAAACTCGGCGCAATCTTGTTAATGTTGTTGTTATTGTTGTTGTTGTTATTGATGTTGTTGTTGTTGTTGTGGCTTCGACTATCGTTTTTTATTTTAAATTTAATTTTCAACTCGTCATCAACAACACGCGTGTTGTTGTCAGTTTTGTTGATGTTGAAGCTACTGATATTGAAGCTACTGAAGCTGCTTAAGTTGCTGCTGCTGTTGTTGTTGACGTTGTTGCTGCTGCTGATGTTGCTTTTATTGCTGCTACTTTTCGCGCTGCAAGTTTTGCAGAAATTTGTAAACGAAAATGTCTAAATTGCAATCGGCATTGTAACAAAAACAAACATCCTCATCATCATTGTCATCTTCATCGTCGTCATCTTCATCGTCATCATCGTCATCATCGTCATCATTAATCAGCACTAACATAAAATTTTTCTTTTTTGTAGTCTTTGCTTTTTTAGACGACTTCCCTTTCGGACCTTTTCCGACTTTGGCAGGTGCGCCATCTTTAGAGGGTTTTTTCTTATAATATTTCTTCGTTGTAGTAGTAGTAGTAGAAGCAGCAGCAGTAGCAGCAGCAGCAGTGATAGTAATATTAGTAATAACAATAGTAGAATTAATTTTAGTAGTATTAGATGAAGGCGAGCCATGAATGACTGAAACCTTAGACGATGTGATGTTAATTGAATGGGTCAAATTGGCTTTATCTTTGTGGGAAATTTTGACACGTGCAGTTAATGACGGCACTTGTTGTGGCTGTTGATGATGTTGTGGTTGTTGTGGCTGCTGCTGATGTTGTGGTTGTTGTAGTTGTAGTTGCTGTAGTGGTTGATGTAGTTGCTGTTGCTCAGCGTGTGGCTTTAGGTGCTGTTGTTGTGGTTGTTGTTGAAACTGCAGCAGTTGTTGTTGTTGTTGCGGCATTTTGTTGTTGTTTTTTAATGCATCCACGTCAGCCGCGGTTTGCTGGGGTTTTATGCTTAGATCTGAATGAATGAATGAACGAATGAATGAATGAATGAATGAATGAATGAATGAATGAATGAATGAATGAATGAATGAATGAATGAATGAATGAATTAAAGGACAAATCAATAGATAAATTAATGAAAAAATTAGTTACTATATAAAGAAACCAAAAAACAAAATTTGACCAGAGTAATAAAAAGACATAAAAAGAATATTTGCAAGAACCTTCGCGTGCCGTCCTAAAGAAAGTGCCCCAATCGTTCCGAACGCATTGATCAGCAATATTACGACAAAAACTTTTGGTA